GCCCTAGCTGCTTGAGCTACAAGTGCTGAGCTTCATGTTTCTAAACCTCCATGTTCCTAGCTTTCCTGGCCCTTGACATTCTGGATCTCTGTGTCCCTTGTTTTTTAGGACTCTGTTTTGATTTTTTTTTTTTTTCTGAGTGCCTGTGTTGTTCATTTCCTAATCTCTATCATTCTTGAAGTTACCAACTATCTGTGACTCTGCATTCTTCCCTGAGTTTGGTCCTTGGCCACTTCATGACACTTCTCCATCCCTGAGTCTCAGCTCTCTATGGGGACTTGTGTTCTCCACATTGGCCCTGGGTTTGCCCACACTGATGCCCCTTTTCCTAATAGGGGGGCCTCAGGCTCCTCATCCAGGAGTCTGTGTGGAAGGAAACTATGAGGCGGCTCCAGGCAAGGATGAGGCAGCTTCGGAGTGGCCGAGGGCTGGATGGGGCCGTGGACATGGGTGCCCGAGGGGCTGCCGCGTGTGACCTGGCCCAGCACTATGTTCGTGAAGCCCAGAGCCAGGGTGCACAGGTGAGCAGGGGAAGTATCTAGGGTGTTGGCAGAGGAGGGACCTACGCCTCCCAGGGTCTGAGGGAGGAGGGGACAGAGTCTTACCAGGCCTGGGATGGATTGGATGCTTCCAATTTGTGGGTCTAGGAGAAGAGGGAGACAGAAGCCTGGATTATTGGACCTGAGGGAGGAGGGGCTAGAGGCCTGGATCCCTGGGTCTGAGGCAGGAGAACACTGGAGAGGAACTTCTAGATCTAGTTCTCTCCCTCCCTAGGTGTTCCAGGCTGGTGATGTGTACCCAGACAGCCCATTCTACCCCCCAACCTTGGTCTCTGACCTACCCCCAGCCTCCCCATGTGCCCAGGCAGAGGTGAGCTACTTAGGAACCTGAGTGTCCTAGTCTATCCAGCTATTTTCTGCCAGCTGGGCGGTAGGGTGGAGGGGGAGAACTACCAAACCTACAGAAGTCCCTAGGGTGTCCATGACCATGTGACCTGGGCTAGGGGCTGCTGACTTCTGGAGGCTCATCCCCTGATGGGCAGGGTACTGAAAGGAGGTGCTGGCCAGGTCCCCTGAGCTCCCCTATCACCACTTGCAGGTGCCATGGCCTGTGGTTGTGGCCTCCCCTTTCCGTACAGCCAAGGAGGCACTAGCCTTGGCCAATGGGACACCCCGGGGCGGCAATGCCAGCGTGTGGAGTGAGAGGCTGGGGCAGGCGCTGGAGCTGGGCTACGGGTCAGTCGGTGCCACTGGGGCACAAAGGGGAGCCTGGGGGTGCAGCCCCAGTTGCCACTCTTCCCATCAGTCTTGGCATCTCCCTTCTCCCTGGGTCTCTTTCCCCACTTCTTTTGCTCACTACTCCCCCCTAACTTTCTGTTTTTCTCTGATTCTCCATCTCCCCTTATAGGCTCCAGGTGGGCACAGTCTGGATCAACAGCCACGGTCTCAGAGACCCTGCAGTACCCACAGGTGGCTGCAAGGAGAGTGGGTCTTCCTGGCATGGGGGCCCAGATGTGAGCACACCTCCTCCCATCACCCCACACACCGCCTTGACACTTGCACAGTGTCTATTTTGCATCCTCTTAACACCATCCCTCTCACAGGGGCTGTATGAGTACCTGCGGCCCTCGGGGACCCCTGCCCGGCTGTCCTACCTTTCCAGGAACCTGAACTATGATACATTTGGCCTTGTTGTGCCCTCAACCCTGCCTGCTGGGCATGAATTAGGGCCCAGGTGAGTTGTCCCAGGGCCCAGGTCGTCTGGGGGTGTTGAAGGGAAATTATGTCAGGTTCCCCGATGAACTTGAGGTCTAGAGGGAGGCTAGTTCGTCTGTCTCTCCCATGGGGTCCTGGGTCTGCTGAGTATTACGTTCTGGGTCTTACAGCCTAATACGTTCCCCCATCCCGGGCCTGGTAAGACTCTCAGTTCTGCAGTGTGAAGGCCTGTGCTCTCCAAGAGTCTCATAGGAGCAGGAGTTTGGGATACCCCAGAGGCTCATGGAGCCAAGGTGGTCCATCTAATGGGTGAAGCATAGAGTCTGAGCAGGGCCAAGGCCCACCTCATGCTTCACACCACTCTAGCCTACCACTCCCCTATGGGCTCTTCGTTGGAGGCCGTTTCCAGGCTCCTGGGGCCCGAAGCTCCAGGCCCATCCAAGATTCATTTGGCAACCTCCATGGCTACGTGGCTGAAGGTGGTGCAAAGGATATCCGAGGTGCTGTGGAGGCTGCTCACCAGGCTGCCTCTGGGTAAGAGGGTCACAGGGGAGAGCACAGAGGTCATGGGGTGGCAGAGAGGATAATCTGAGACCTCTAAGGGTTGGTGGGATGGGGGCCTGGGCCTCTAAGGTAGGGCTATGGGCAGAGGCAGGGTGTTTGGGAGCCAGGCCAGGATGCAGTGTTGCCTGTGTATTGTCTCCCTACAGCTGGGTGGGGCAGTCACCAGGAGCCCGCACCACCCTGCTGTGGGCCCTGGCAGCCGCTCTGGAACGCCGGAAGTCCACCCTGGTTTCGAGGCTGGAGAGGCAGGGAGTGGAGCTCGAGACTGCCAAGGCAGAGGTGGAGCTGAGTGTGAGACGACTTCGGGCCTGGGGGGCCCAGGCCCAGGCCCAGGCCCAAGGCCAAACCCTGCAGGTGAAAGGGGTCTATGGGCAGGTAGACAGGGCAGGCAATCAGGGTGGGGAGGTCAGAGGCCAAACCTTTTCAAAGGTTTTGAAATGAGTCAGGCTTGCAGTCCAGGTCTAGGCCTACCCACTCCCAGCTGCATGATCATCTATCTACAAGTGGCTTCAACTCTCTGCACCTCGGTTTCCTCATCTGTACACTGGACATATGGCCCACCTGAAAGTAGTGTTTTCCAAATTGTAGTTCATGACCCATTACTGGGCCATAGAATCAATTTAGTGGGCCACAGCTGTATTTTTTAAAATGCATTTGCTGGGTGGCTCAAAGGAGTAGGGCACCAGCCCCATATGTCAGAGGTTGCGGGTTCAAACCCAGCCCTGGCCAAAAGCTGCAAAAAAAAAAAAAAAAAAAAATGTATTTGCTTATTTACTTATTTTTTTAGAGATGGGATCTTACCATGTTGGCCAGGCTAGCGTGCAGTGGCTGTTCACTGGTGCGATCGTAGCCCATTCCACCCTCAAACACCTGGGCCTGGGCTCAAATGAGCCTCCCAACTAGAGGGGGACTACAGGTGTGGGCCATTGCTCTTGGCTTTTTCCCCCCAGAACTCAAGACACAATACCTGGGTTTTTTTTTTCCCAGCAAAGGATAATAGGATAGAAAACATGGAGTACATTGCACAGAGTGTTGCTTCATGTGGCTTGTGTTCTATTTATATAAATAACATACAGTTAAATATACAACTGGGTTGGCTCAGTGCCCATCGCTCAGCGGCTAGGGTGCTGGCCACATAACCCAGGCTGGCAAGTTCGAACCCAGTCCAGGCCTGCCAAACAACAATGACAACTACAACAAAAAAATAGCCGGGCATTGTGGCAGGTGCCTGTAGTCCCAGCTACTTGGGAGGCTGAGGCAAGAGAATCACTTAAGCCCAAGAGATTGAGGTTGCTGTGAGCTGTGACACCATGGCACTCTACCCAAGGTGACATAGTGAGACGCTGTCTCAAAAAATAAAAATAAAAAAATAAAATGTGCGTGCATTGCAGTGAATGCCCATTATATTCAATAAAGCTTTTGTAGAAAACACACATAGAAACAAACCCATGGGCCAGGATTCAAGTCCACTGCTCACATTAATTCATTTGGTCCTAACAACAAACCTGTGACATAGGCACTATCATTATTCTCATTTTAAAGATGAGAAACAGGCTCGGCGCCTATGCCTCAAGCGGCAAAGGTGCCATCCACATACACCTGAGCTGGCGGGTTCAAATCCAGCCTGGGCCTGCCAAAAACAGTGATGGCTGCAACCAAAAAAAATAGCCAGGCGTTGTGGCAGGCATCTGTAATCCCAGCTACTTGGGAGGCAGAGGCAGGAGAATCTCTTGAGCCCAGGAGTTGGAGGTTGCTGTGAGCTGTGACACTACGGCACTCTACCCAGGGTGACAGCTTAAGACTCTGTCTCAAAAAAAAAAAAAAAAGATGAGAAACAGTAACCTCTCTCATTTTAAAGATGAGAAACAGTAACCCCAGAAAGGTTAAATAACTGCTGTAATGTCACACAGCTGGTGAGTGGCTGAGCTGGGACTTGAACCCACAAGTTCTGTGCTCTGAACCATCCCCTGGTTATACCATTATTGGGGGCTATTATGGAAAAGCAAAGAGGAGGGAAGAGGCAGGTAATGAAAAAAGCCAGGCAAATTAGTCTTGACTACCTTGCCCTTGACCTACCGCTGCCTCTCCCTGCAGGTAGCAGGACTGAGAGGCCCTGTGCTTCGCCTGCGGGAGCCGCTGGGTGTGCTGGCTATTGTGTGCCCAGATGAGTGGCCCCTGCTCGCCTTTGTGTCCCTGCTGGCCCCTGCCCTGGCCTATGGCAACACTGTGGTCATGGTACCCAGCGGGACCTGTCCCCTGCTGGCCCTGGATGTCTGCCAGGTATGGTCCCCAGCCTGCCTGTTGCTGCCTCCCTACAACCGGGAGGTAGCAGATGAAAGATGCCCCAAGGCCTGCAGGAGCTTGGCTCTCACCCTGCCCTCCTTTGTAATCCCCGTGCTAACATGTAAGACTTCATCCTCAGAGACCAATGCCCCTTCCTTCCAGTCCTGGAGCCTTCACCAGTCCCTGACCCCAAGCCCATTCCTTCCAAAGCCCCATGGCCACTCTCCAGATGCTCACTCCTCATACTGTCCCACTGCCCTCCCAACTCTTTTATCCCCTAGGATATGGCCACCCTGTTCCCAGCAGGCCTGGTGAACGTGGTGACAGGAGACCAGGACCACCTGACCCGCTGCCTGGCCTTGCACCAGGACATCCAGGCCCTGTGGTATTTCGGATCTGCCCAGGTACTCTTTGTTTTGCCATCTTTGGCATCTTAAATTTCACCAAGAGTCCCTTCCTTTTCTGGGAATATGACCCTGCCCCTTTAGAATCCTAATTGCTAAGGAAAAGATATACTCAGCAACAAAGGCCTGAGAACCTGCCCAGCCCAAAGACCTAACCCCAGTGGATAGCTCACTGCTAAGGACCACTCTCTAGCAACAGAGACCAAGGCCGGGAGTCTGCTCTTAAACCTTTTCCAAGCAACAGATGGGAACTCCCTGTTGACAAGAGCCTCAAACTCTGTTCTCTTGAAAGAGCTGTTAAGGGACAGGAAATTCCCTAGCCACAGAGTTAACCTCTTTTCCCTCACATCTGGAAGGTTTGCTTGCTGAGAGCTGGGTCTGAGTCAAACCTTAGGCCCATCCTCAGCAATTGTCCTTATTGCAAAGGAAGCAGCTGCTTAGCAAACAAGCTGGCAGAAGTGCTAACTGACCCCATTCCCTCCCAGGGTTCCCAGTTTGTGGAGTGGGCCTCAGCAGGAAACCTCAAACCTGTGTGGGTGAACAGGGGCTGCCCACAGGCCTGGGATCAGGAGACTTCAGGGGCAAGCCCAGAGTTGGGGCTGCGGGCAGCACGGACCAAGGCCCTGTGGCTACCCATGGGGGACTAATGCCTGTACACCACCCACTCCATCTTGGAAGGAGGGAAAATGAAACCCAACAGACACCAGATGCCTGGAACTTTTCCCTCCTGGCTTCTCATATCTTCCAATAAACTCCTTGACCAACCCTGACTATGCCTCTGAGGGGAAAAGGGCACCAGCAACTTCTGGTCTACTTGAGACCTTTTGAGTTCTGAGACTTAACTTCAGATTGAGTTCTGTGCTACAGTTTGATTCAGTTTTGTGAAACAGATAAAGGGGACTCTGAAGATTCCCAGGCAGGGCCTGCAGGCCTCTTGTCTCCCCTAGTATGCTTTACCTGGTGGCTCTACTTTTCTGATTTCCTCTGCCTGTGCATTGCCTGAGAACATGATATGCTGGTCAGTCAGCTCTATGGGGTAAGAGCAAAACTCTGGTGGGTAACTTTTGACAATATCCATGATGCAAATGTTTCCCCTATGCCCAGCTTCAGGGCACATATGAGTTTAGGTCTCACTCTGGCTCAGGGTGGTCTTGAACCTGTGAGCTCAGGCAATCTACTTGCCTCGGCCTCACAGAGTGCTAGCACTACAGGCATGAGCCACCTCACCCAGCCTGAATTGCTGAATTTTTTTCTTATATGAAAAGGCATTTTATTATTACTATTTTACTATATAACATATTAATGAATATACTAGATTGTATTTTCTCAAATGGCACGAGGCACATTTCTCTCCAATTCCCTGGAAAACCTCAGTATCACCTGTCTTTTGGAGGATTCAGTTTCTTATGATGAGTGTAATACTGTCCACGAGGATACCAACGGTGCTTAGTAGTAAAGAACATTTTGCTAAGTTGTTCTATCATGGGTCCTTGTTCAAGGCATTCACTTTTTTCTGCTAATCTGGTTTTCAGCACTTGATCATGTATTTCTTTATTATTACGCACAGGGTCTGATAGAGGAATAGGTTTTGTGTGTTCTTATGGAATGTCCACAGAAGGGTGGTAGCATACTATTGTCCTGCCATCAGATGTCAAAGTAAGCTCTACTTTGCAATTATAGTCATCTGGTAGAGAAGAATATGTAGATTTATGACAAACACAATATAAAGCTCCATGAAAAAAGACGTTTTGAAGAAACACTGCTTTTAAAATCTGCTTCTAAGAAAAATCAATTTTTATCCCTTGACAGTGCCTCACTGTGAGCCCGCTATCTTGTTTCCTGAATTTTTAACAACTGTATGAGCCAGTGTGAGTAGCTCCTTCATACCACTGCCTTAGAATCCTTTTTGGCCAGGCGCAGTGGCTCATGCCTGTAATCCTAGCACTCTGGGAGGCCACGGCAGGTGGATTGCTTGAGCTCAGGGGTTTGAGACCAGCCTGAGCAAGAGCAAGATCCTGTCTCTACTAAAAATAGAAAAACTAGGCTCGGTGACCATAACACAGTGGTTAAGGCACTGGCCACATGCACCAAGGCTGACGGGTTCAACCCCAGCCAGGGCCTGCTAAACAACAACACAAGTGCAACAACAATTAAAAAATAAATAGCTGGGCGTTGTGGCAGGCACCTGTAGTCCCAGCTACTTTGGAGGCTGGGGCAAGAGAATAGCTTAAGCCCAAGAGTTTGAGGTTGCTGTGAGCTGTGACAGCATGGCACTCTACCAAGGGCGACATAGTAAGACTATGTCTCAAAAAACAAATATAAAAACTAGTCAGGGGGCGGTGCCTGTGGCTCAGTGGGTAGGGCGCCAGCCCATATACTAAGGGTGGCGGGTTCGAACCCAGCCCCCAACCAAACTGCAACAAAAAATAGCCAGGCATTGTGGCAGGCGCCTATAGTCCCATGGGAGGCTGAGGCAAGACAATCGCCTAAACCCAGAAGTTGGAGGTTGCTGTTAGCTGTGACGCCACAGCACTCTACTGAGGGCGATAAAGTGAAACTCTTGTCTCAAAAAAAAAAAAAGAAAGAAAAGAAAAACTAGGGCGGCACCTGTGGCTCAAAGAGTAGGGCGCCCGCCCTATATACTGAAGGTGGTGGGTTCATACCCAGCCCCAGCCAAAAACTGCAAACAAAAAGAAAAAAACTAGTCAGGCATGGTGGTAAGTGCCTGTAGTCCCAGGTACTCAGGAGGCTAAGGCCAGAGTATTGCTTAAGCCCAAGAGTTTGAGGTTGCTGTGAACTAGGCTGACACTATAGCACTCTACCCAGGGCGATGGAGTAACACTCTGTCTCAAAAATAAAAAAATTGTCCAGTACAGTGGCTCATGCCTGTAATCCTACCACTCTGGGAGGCTGAAGCGGGTGGATTGCCTGAGCTCACAGGTTCACAACCAGCCTGTACAAGACCTGGCAAGACCTCGTCTCTAAAATAGCTGGGTGTTGTGGCAGGCTACTTGGGAGGCTAAGACAAGAGAATCACTTGAGCCCAAGAATTTGAGTTTGCTGTGAGCTATGATGCCACAACACTCTACCAAGGGCAACAAAGTGAGACTGTCTCAAAAAAAAAGGGCGGCGCCTGTGGCTCAGTGAGTAGGGCACCAGCCCCATATACCAAGGATGGTGGATTCAAACCCGGCCCCAGCCAAACTGCAACAAAAAAAATAGCCAGACGTTGTGGTGGGCACCTGTAGTCCCAGCTACTTGGGAGGCTGAGGCAAGAGAATCATCTAAGCCCAAGAGCTGGAGGTTGCTGTGACACTATGGCACCCTATCAAGGGTGACAAAGTGAGACACTGTCTCTTAAAAAAAAAAAAATTGAATCCTTTTTAACAAAAGAAACCCACTCATGCTAGCTTAGGATAAAAGAGAATTTTCTGGAAAGTTAGAGATACCTTACAGAAGACAGGGCAGGACACACATGTAGGTGTCCCTGGACTTCATCAGGTAGGAGCCAAGGCAGGTCCTTCTTCTAGGAGCCACATGATCTCTTGAGTCTTGTATTTCTGCCTTTCTGCTCCATTCAAATCTTTCCAGCTGGCAGTGATAGTGGCTCACACCTATAATCCCAGCACTCTGGGAGGCTGTGGGGGGAGAATCCCTTGAGTTCAGGAGTTGGAGAAGAGCATGAGCAAGGGTGAGACCCTGTCTCTACTAAAAATAGAAAAATTAGCTAGGTGTTGTGGCAGGCACCTGTAGTCCCAGCTATTTAGGAGGCTGAAGCAGGAGGATCACATGAGCACAGGAGTTTCAGTTTGTTATGAACTATGATGCCACAGCACTCCACGTAGGGCTACAGAGTGACACTCTGTCTCCAAAAAAAACAGAAGTCTGAAGTAAGTTTTATTTAGCTGAAGTCCAGGCATTGGCAGACCTGTATCAGTCCTTCTGGAGGCTCCAGAATCTCACCTTTACCAACCTCTCCAGGCCATAGGTAGTCCTTAGCTCAGGCTCATTTCCCCTGTCTTCTTCTAATTTTTTTTTTTTTTTGAGACAGTCTCACTCTGTCACCCTGGGTAGAGTGCCATGCATCATCATCACCTCACAGCAACCTCAAAACTCTTGGGTTCAAACAATCCTCTTGCCTCAGTTTTTCTACTTTTAGTAGAGATGGGGCATCTCTCTTGCTTAGGCTTGTCTTGAATTCCTGAGTTCAAGCAATCCACCCACCTCAGCCTCCCAGAGTCCTAGCATTACAGGCGCAAGCAACCACATCCAGCCTACCCATCTTCAAAGCCAGCAATGTCTGGTTGAGTCTCTCAAGATGGCTTCACTCTGACTCTTCTGTTGGCACATCTCTTTCTCTGCCTCCTTCTTTCACTTATTAGGACACACCCCAAAATGATCTCCCTTTAGCTTGATCACATCTGTAAAGTCCCTTTTGCCACACTGGGTCACACTTTACAGGTTCTAGAGATTAGGATGTGGACATTTTGGGGGACTGTTGTTTTGCCAGCCTCAAAGGAAGTCAGAAAATAAGTGAAAAACTAAGAAAAGTGAGCGGTGCCCATAGCTTAGTGGGTAGGGTGCCGGCCACATACACCGAGGCTACCGTGTCCAAATCCAGCTGGGGCCTGCTAAACAACAATGGCAACAACAACAAAAAAATAGCTGGGCATTATGGCAGGTGCCTATAGTCCCAGTTACTTGGGAGGCTGAGGCAAGAGACTCTCTTAAGCCCAAGCGTTTGAGGTTGCTGTGAGCTGTGATGCCATGGCATTCTATCCAGGGCAATAGCTTGAGACGCAAAAAAAAAAAAAAAACAACTAAGAAAAGTCTGGCCATTCAGTGTCATTTGAAAACTAAACCCAGTTAGACAAGAAGTGAGGCGGAGGAGGCAGGGAAGATAAATGGCTAGTGTAACAAGATGGCTTTGCTGCAGATACTCAACTCTCTGGTCTACAGCCACAAAGGTAGTCTTGCTCACATTACCTGTTCACTCACCGTTGGAAGGGCCCCTCTGCTCCTAAGAATCACAAGGGGAACTTGGCTGAGGGAGGCCCTTTTGATGCTTCTTACACCTATGCAAACCATTCCCCAGCCTGGTAAGCTTCCACCCATAAGTGACAGTCAACCTCATGCTGTTGGCCAAAGCAAGTCATGTGGTCTGCTATGCCTGAGTTCCATAGGAACCCTTGTGCAGGAAAGGAGGGCCAGCAGCTATCTGGGGACTATCTGCCACAGAAGGAATGGGCAAGAAAGAGATTCACTGAACCCCAGACATGGAAGGGGGCTTATTTTTTTTCTTATTTACCACCTCACTGCCCAGTTTAGAGTTGAAATTGAGGCTTAGAGAGGTCAAGGGGCAGGCTAACCTTTCACAGTGGCAAAGGCCAGCCAGATTGACACTTGCCAGGCCTGATGTGACAAGATACATTCCCCTGAGTCCTGTGTTGCAGGTATTGGCAGGGAAAGCTGGAGGATCAGTCAGACCCAGCCGCGCAACAAGCCCCCCAGCTCCCGCAGCCAGATCTGGCTTGGAGACCCGATGGCCTGGCACTATAAATGCCACGCAGGGGTACTGTCTTGGCTTAGACCTTCCCAGGCACAGCAGAACTCTCCCAAGGTGCTATCAGCGGCGTGAGTGGCCACCTGCCGCCACGAGGCGGCGCTCTAGGCCCCGGCCCAAATCCCACCCTTGCTCACTATCTGTCCCCAAAACTTTCCTTTCACTTTCGGTCTCTGGCTGTCACCCGGCTTGGCCCCTTCCACACCCTGCTGGGTCTCGCCTAGTGTATGAGGAGCGTTGGACTCCAGGTCCCCGAGGGGCGGAGCCGGGGTCTCTAGTCCTAGGGCACCAGGGGATGGGGGGGTCGGGTTCCCGAGTCCCTGACCTGGGAGGGTTCTGGGGACCGGATGTCAGGGTTCTTGAAAGGGGAGATGAGGAGTTTTCACCATAACTGGGGCTCGTGCAGGAAGCCTGGGGGAGTGAGAGGCGGAAACTCAGCCACATCAAGAAGACCACGGAGGGGCGGGGAGCTGACGGGGCGGGTGAGGAAGGGACTCGGGTGTGGGGGTCCGAGACTACTTTTTCTGTCCCTTCCAAGACCCAGCCATAGGCATGAGGGGCCCCTGGCCGAGATGACAGTGCTGGCACCAGCCTGGACCCCAACTGTGCGTATACCTGAAGGACAAGGTGGGGGGAATGGAGAAACACAATGTCAAGACTGGGGGCGTGGAGATGGATAGAGGAGGAGCCGGTGGACAGAAGGGAGAGGTGAACAGAAGAGGAGAGGTGGACAGAGGAGGGGAATTTGGCAGTGCTGGGTACAAATGAAGAGGACAGGACCGAAAGAGAGGAAGAAACACCCTACGTGAATGTAGAGGGCCCAGTAGAGGAGATGGGGAGAGAGATAGGCAGAGCAGGTGAAAAGAGGACAGCACTGGAACAGAGGCCGAGAGGAACAGAGAGGTACGGGCAGAGATGGGAAAGGTGGATGAGACTTGGGACAGGAGGAGGGAAGTCGGAGCAGAGGAGATGGAAGCCTGGGGGTAGGGAGCATGTGTGGAGCCAAGAGCAACCTGAGCTCTGCCCTGCAGACCTCCCAGCTGCTGCTGCTGCTTCTGCTGCTACTCAGCCCCGGCCTCCGTGGTACCCAGAACTGCTCCTTCCAGCACAGCCCCATCTCTTCCACCTTCGCTGACAAGATCCTCAAGCTGGTGAGCATTCCTGCCTTGGACTCTCTCCTGCTGTCCCCTTTTAAAGCCAAGGTTCTATAGCTGTGTCTGAGTTCCCCATCTTGGCCTTTGTCCCTCTTAGTCCGGGTCTTTGCCACCACCTGAGTCTCCTTAGTTCTGTTTACCCCCGTTTTCTCTCCTAGTCTAATTACCTGCTTCTGGATTACCAAGTCACTGTGGCCTCCAACCTGCAGGAAGTGAGTCATATGGGAGGGGCCTGGGATGGAGGTGGGAACCACAGACTCAAAACTGGACACCCTTGGGGACCAGGCTATTTGGCCCACCTGGCCCCTTCCTGCTCAGGCCCAAGAACCCCTGCCTCAGTGCCTTCTCCCTCAGACCCAGGGGTCCAGACCCCTAGCCCCTCCTCTCTCAGACCCCAGCATGGGCTGTCCCCACCCCTACTCCCCACTCTCTCGGCACCCAGGAGGAGCTCTGTGGGGCACTCTGGCGGCTGGTCCTGGCCCAGCGCTGGATGGAACAGCTCAAGACTGTGGCTGGGTCCCACATGCAAGACCTCCTGGAGGCTGTCAACACGGAGATAGTCTTTGTCACCACATGTGCCTTTCAGGTTAGCCCTGAACTTGGGGAACAAGTAAGGGGAGGAAGATGCTTTCTCACACATTGGAAGTAAAGCTCTGGTCAGCCTTACTGGAGATTTCTTTTGAACTGAGCAACACAAGGAAGGCAGAGCTGCCACCCAGTCACCTAGGGGCCTGTCGCTAGAGAATAACAACTGTTTAGGCAGCAGGGGATGGTGGAGAGTCTGGGCCCAATGCTGGGGCCCAGATCTCTCAGGCCCTGGTGAAGGCTGCTACTAAGGTTCTCCCTGCTAGTAACCAGGGGAAGGGCTCTAAACTCTTGAGACTGGGCCTGGCTGGGTGTTGCCAGCTGGGAAGGGTCCTGGGCCTGTTATGATGGGAGGGTTGATGTGGTGGTGATATCTCCCTCCACTGCCCCCAGCCCCTCCCCAGCTGTCTTCGCTTCGTCAAGACCAACATCTCCTGCCTCCTGCAGGACACCTCTCAGCAGCTGAATGCTCTGAAGCGGTTGATCACCAGCCGGAATTTCTCTCCATGCCTAGAGCTGCGGTGTCAGCCCGGTAAAGGTTCCAAGTGCCCCCCCACCTCCCTCCCATCATCTTCACAGCCCCTCACCCTCTCTCCTCTGTGTGTCCCAGAGCCCACCCTGCCCCCATTGTCTGCAACAAAGGCAAGTTCATTCCCCTTCCTGGACTCAGTTTACCCATGTTTGAGAAGGGAACAATGATTCTTGTCTGTTTCTCTAAGACAGTCCTATCCAATAGAAATACAATGCAAGCCACAAGTTTAAGTGTAAATTTCCTAGTTCTTTTTTTTTTTTTTTTTT